GTCCAAATTCCTTGCTAAGAGGCCTGGCGAGTCATGCCTTACAAACCACAAAATCTCATTAAATGGGTTTATTTTATTTTATTAAGTTTTTTTAGAAATAGGGTTTCGCTCTGTCATCCAGGCTGGCATGCAGTGGTGAGATCATAGCTCACTGTAACCTAAAATTCCTTGGCTCAAGCAATCCTCCTGCCTCAGCCTCCCAAGTAGCTGGGACTACAGGTGCACACCACATCCCTGGCTAATTTTTAAATTTTCTTACAGACAGGGTCTCACTATGTTGCTCAGTCTGGTCTCAACCTCCTGGGCTCAAGTGATCCTCCCGCCTCAGCCTGCCAAAGAGCTGGGATTACAGGCGTGAGCCACTGAGCCCAGCCCTGACTCCAATTCTTGAGACAAAACTTAACTCTTTCAACCAACTGCCACCTGAAGAATCCCTAAAACTCACCTATGACTTGTAAGCCCTCACTTCTAGATGTCCCGTCTTGTCAAGCCGAACCAATGTGTACCTTCCATGTATTGATTTATGATTTTACCTGTAATTCCTGTCTCCATGAATGTATAAAACCCAAATGTAACCCAGCTTCCTTGGGTGCACTTTTTCAGGACCTGTTGAGATGGTGTTCCTTGGGCCACAGTCACTCCTATTGGCTCAGAATAAACCTCTTTAAATGCTTTGGCAGAATTGAGTTTTTCCGTCAACCCTGGCAAATGAAGGATCTTATAAAAGTTATAAGATCTGCTTCTGTCTGTATGTCTTTATGTGTTATATGCATGTGATATTTCACTACTGAAATATATAAAAGCTCTAATCAATTGTCTTAAAAAGAGCTTAAATCAAATATTTTATCAGAAAAATAAAAACTAACTTTAATGCCTTTTAGTTCACTTGGGTAAATCTTTGGTAAGACTAGTTTAATATTGTTGATTTAATGAAAACAGCTGTATCTTCTGATCAGCAAAATATCCACGTATTTAACTTTAGGGCTCTTGTGTAGGTGGCAACTGCCCAACATTTGCAGGCTGCGAAAATTATTAACAAGGAAATAACTTGAGATGATGGCAGCTTTATTTAATGGACAACTCAAGCTTAATTGTTAAGAACAAGTAAATTAAATGAATGTAGATGGTAAAAAAGTTTATACATAAACTTTTCATCATTTAAAAAATCTTTTTCAGTAATTTAAAGTCATATTATGTTAAATTAATTAATAGAAAAGCATAAAATGTCTGAGTCATTTCTAAGTTAAAATACTGAAACAATCATTAAATGTAAGTTTAAGTTGATATATTTTGGCCTCTTTTTTTTTTTTTTTTTTTTTTTTTTTTTTTTTGAGACAGAGTCTCACTCTGTTGCCCTGGCTTGAGTGAGTGCCATGGCTTCAGCCTAGCTCACAGCAACCTCACACTCCTGGGCTCAAGCAATCCTACTGCCTCAGCCTCCTGAGTAGCTGGGACTACAGACATGCGCCACCATGCCCGGCTAATTTTTTCTATATAGATTTTTAGTTGTCCAAATAATTTCTTTCTATTTTTAGTAGAGACGGGGTCTCACTCTTGCTCAGGCTGGTCTCGAACTCCTGACCTTGAGCGATCCACCCGCCTCGGCCTCCCAGAGTGCTAGGATTACAGGCGTGAGCCACCGTGCCCGGCCGGCATCTTATTTTTATGTGGTATAGAAAAACTAAATATATTTAGATCTGTTAATAAAAAATTGAGGAAACATCTAAGAAATTATGAAATGGTTTTCATCTACAAATACTCATATAAGACAGTTCAAAATTACTTCCTAGGTTTTTCACTAGAAATTAAGATTATTAAGAGTTAAAATTGTAATTAATATATGTAATTAAAACTACTATGTATAAGAAAAACAATTCTGCATAAAGTGTATAAGAGCAGTCAGATGTGTTTTTAGTAAAGGTTATAAAGAAGGCACAAGAATGGTTTTTGTTAAAGTAATTTTGTCTGGAGGTTTTTAAAGATTGTTTTAAGTTGAGGGCTAAGAAAAGAAAGATAAAATCGAGTAGACTTGGAATTGGGGAAAGAGAGTGCGGGAAAACTTGTAAGAGGGTGTAACATACTTACGGACATCTCATCTGGTGAGTTCAAAGCTGACTGAGACTGGATCGATCAGCACTTGCACTGCCATTCCGCCCCCGGGCATGCCCCTCAGACTGGTGGAAGGTACAAATGGGATAATAAAAAAATCAATTGGCAAAGCTTACAGAAACTTTCAACCCTTCCTGGCCTCAGGCTCTTCCTCTTGCTAGAGTTCTACCCCATTTGGAAAAATCAGCTTTCTCCTTTGAAATCACACACCTGTAGGAAACAGGCTGGGATCCAGTCCTTAAATGTGACATTGTTCCTTATTGCCAGGGCCTTTCCCTTCTCACTAAAAATTCTAAATTAATTACTGATTCTTTAAACAGTGAGCTCCGGGGAGATAAAGACATTGAAGATCAAGGTCTCCAACCTGGAGGTTTTGTTTATCAGAAAAAGCCATCAAATGAAGGTTCCCAGCTGCATCAGGCAGACTGGGTGGCTGTCTTCACCATGGGGGACCCTCAACACCTTGTTCTTCAAACCCCGACAAGAAGTACACGAAATATTTCTTTGATTACCTTGAGGAATAGGAACACTTTCCAGATCTGGATTTCAAATTTTGTTAATAATTGTCTTTATTTGTGTCATATTTTTGATTCTTAAATTAATTATACCCTGTATGTCTACATATCTAAAGTTAACAACAAAAAACTAATCATGATAGACGCTTAGAAATGATCCAACGTGCCATGGCTCCCTTGTTAAGTGGATGGCCTGACTGAGACCCGCTCGTCCCTTGCTGTTACCAATCAACTTGGCCTTGAGACCTGCTAAGTTCCTCAGCCACAGCATCTTCCCTTTTTCCCTCCACCTGGGACAGAAGGACGAGATTACCTGGAAGTGAGCCTTCCCTGTGGCGTGGGACAAGTTTACAACTAACGTGTTGATCATCAGTGCTTTCAGACGAGAAAGATTTTGGTCAAAGAGAGGAAATAAGAAAAGACGATTAGCTCACAGCAGTCTGAGCTATGTGAGGTATTCAGTCCAGAGGGACATGAGTATGGGACTTCAGCCATGCTCCCCACCCACACCTGGGGGCAGTTGTTTAAAGGCATTTTGTTCTTTCTTTCCTGTAGTTTCCTGACTTGCTGCCTTACTCATTATCTTCATTTACCTGGACTTTGTCATACAAAGAATAATAGATAGCCAATCAGTAGCTTCTGTCATTTTAATGTGAATTCTTGCTAAACAATTTAGGAACTGCCTCTTTTTTTCCTTTAAAGAGCCACTGCTTGGAGCTCTGGTCCCACCACAGCCCTCTAGCCTAGGCATCAGAGGAGACCCTGTCTCAAAAACAACACACAAAAAACCCCACTGCTAGGAGCTGGGTGCAGTGGCTCAGGGCTGTAATCCCAGCTGCTGGGAAGGCTGAGGTGGGAAGGTCACCAGAGCCAAGGAGTTAGAGGCTGAACTGAGCTATGATAGCACCACTGCACTCCAGCCTGGGGGACAGAGTGAGATCCCCCGTCTCTTAAAACCCCACTGCTGCTAATGGGAGCGTATATTTAGGGAAACTTGAGTCTAGGCCCCAGGCTTGCAGTCCTAGAACTTGGCCCAAATAAACTCTTCACTTATATTTTTTTTGCCTCAGTTTTTGCGTTTAGGGCGACAAAGGTGACTGCCAGATCCCTGACATGAAAGGGGGATGTCTTTCCGTGAACCAGTTCGGCGCCCCTCCCCGCTCCACAGAGTCCCTTAGAGCGACGCTGCACGCCCATTCCCACGTCCCACGGGCAAGCCGGGCCGATCCTGGCCTCTGGGTAACCTTAGTTGCCCCGCTGGCCCCACTCCACGGCGTGGCGCGGGCCCGCGCGGGTGTGGAGAATGTGGCTCCGGTTGCCTTTCGGGGTGACTCGGGGAAAGAGGCGGAGCGCTGCGGGGGGCTGGGTTCTCAAAGTGCTGAGGATAGGGTCTGCGACCACCTGTCCTCCACCTGAACTCCTTCGTGCCCGGCCTATACCGTCTGCACGTCCAGCTCGCCGGGACTGGGAAGACGCCCTCCGCGAGCCCGCCGTGCACCTGCACCGAGGCTACGGGGCGCATGCGCGGGCCGCGGAGGGCGGGGGCCGGGCCGGGAGGGTCCGGCGGGCCCCGAGCCCCGCGTCCGCTGCGGAGATCGCGCGTGGGGGTGCTGTGCTGCGCGGGGACGCGCAGAGCTGCGGGCGCGTAGGCAGCAGGCTCCGCTCCGACCGCGTCCCCTTTGCTCCAGCCAGTGCGGTCCCGGCCTCGGGTTCTCGGGAGCGCCGCTTTCAGACAAAGGGGCGGGAGATGGAGATGGAGATGGAGATGGAGATGGAGATGCTTCCGTGACTGCTCCCGGCGGCCAACCCCACGCGGAGCGGCGGCTAAGGGGCGGGGCGGCGGGTGCCCATCGCTCGCTCCCTGTCCCGAGCTCCACAGGACGCCCAGCTCCGACCGCCGCCGCCCGCCCCCGCACGCGCGTCCGTCCCGGGCCACCTCGCAAGGCTCCGCCGCTCCGTCGCGGCCCTGGTCGCCCGCGCCGCCCCCGCCGGCCGCAACCCCGTCAGCCGCCAGCCCCCGGCCGCCGCGCAGCGCCTAGTGTGCCATCGGGCGGGCGCGGAGGCGGCGTCTGCTCCCACCCCCGAGATCACATGGTGACCCTCGGCAGCCAATGCAGTGGACGCTAGGACCCTGCGGGACCCCGGGCGCCGCGACTGCACCGGCGCTGCTGCATTATAAATACTTCTCCAAAATGCGGCGCAGCTCCCTGCGCGCGCCCCGGCCGCCCGCCGCCTCCTCCCCGCGCCCCTGAGCCGCCGCCGCCGCCGCCGCCGCCGCCGCCGCGAGTCCGAGGGCGCCGCGCCCTTGCCCTGGGCCCGGGCCGAGCCCGCCAGCCGCCCGGCCGCGTCCCCGCGCTGCGCCGCCCGGCCGGGTGCATGCATTGTGGGCCTCCCGACATGGTCTGCGAGACGAAGATCGTGGCCGCCGAGGACCATGAGGCGCTGCCGGGGGCCAAGAAGGACGCACTGCTCGTCGCCGCCGGCGCCATGTGGCCCCCGCTGCCCGCCGCGCCCGGGCCGGCCGCCGCGCCCGCTGCGCCCCCGCCCGTCCCCGATGCCCAGCCGCGCGGCGGGGCGGGGGGCACGGGGCCGCCGGGGGGGCGCGGCGTGTGCATCCGCGAGTTCCGCGCGGCCGAGCAGGAGGCGGCGCGCCGCATCTTCTACGACGGCATCATGGAGCGCATCCCCAACACGGCCTTCCGCGGCCTGCGGCAGCACCCGCGCACGCAACTGCTCTACGCCCTGCTGGCGGGTCAGTGCGGGCGGCGGGGGCCGGGGCCGCGGCCCGCGCGCCACGCCGCGCTCCAGCCTGCCGCAGTCCCGCGCAGGCCGGCTCGCGGAGCCGGGGGGTGGGCCCCCTGGGGCGGCCGCACCGGACTCCCCGCCGCTCACCTGTCCGGGCACCCGCGCGGACCTGGCCTGGGAGGAGGCGAGCGGCCCGCACCCACGCGCCCACCCGCCTTTGCGGGGCCCGGGGGTGGGAACGGGAGCGGGCCGGCGCGGAGCAGGGCTGCGGGCGGGACGCTCCGGAGCCCGGGTGGGGGCGGGGCGGGCATCGGCCAAGGCTCGGCGCCTGGCGCGCGGGTGACTATATATAATCCGCGGGGCGGGGGAGGCTGCGGCGGCGGCTCCGAGTGCTAATTTATGAGGGGAGACAGCCAGCCCCGCGGGGCGCCGCGGGAGGGGCGCTCTGGGGCAGAGCGGGGGTGGGGGGACGGGGGCCATCTCCGAGGGGTCTGTCGGAGCCTTTCCCCTGAAGCTCCACCAGTGGAGGGCTGTTCTCCCATTTTGCAGATGAGGAGCTTGAGGCTGGGGGAGGGTGCGATTCTGCCAAGGTCACCGCAGCCTAGATGCGGCTGGAAGCTGTCGGTCGGCCAGGCCCTGTCCTCAAGGCGCCGCCGCGCAGAGGCTGGTCCAGGGAGACTCTGGCTGTGACCCCGGGAAGACGGTGGTCCTGGGGTCCTGATGAATGTGGGGACCCCTGGCCGCTTCCCAGCGGTGGGGTGGCCTGCAGGGCCCCTTCCCAGCTGGGGACTGCAGGGTCCAGGCTGTGCTGCACCTACCGGCCACTCAGGGCAGCCTGCCCAGAGGCTGCCGCCGTGCTCAGGACGTTTAGAAGTCCTGTGATTGTTTTGGGTGATAAAGGTAGTGTATATTTAGGGTAGAAAGTTTGAAAATAGGGAAAAGTAGGGGGAGCACCTGAAATGCCCCACTGCTCCTCCACCCCAGAGAACAGTGGTACTCTGTTGGGCCAGCCCCTCCTGTGCGTCCGCCGTCCCTCTCGCTCACCCACGCCGCTTCTCCCTGTCCCCGCAGCACTCTGCTTCGCCTTGACCCGCTCACTGCTGCTGACCTGCCTGGTGCCGGTCGGGCTGCTGGGCCTGCGCTACTACTACAGCCGCAAGGTGATCCTGGCCTACCTGGACTGCGCGCTGCACACGGACATGGCCGACATCGAGCAGTACTATATGAAGCCACCTGGTGAGTCCTCCCAGCCCCCTACTCATCAGGCAGAGCTCCTCGTCCCCATCCCCACTACAACCTCAGGGCAGGGCCCAGGGGGTCCCCATGACCAGAGTCATCCAGGTGACTAAGGCCTCCAGCGAAGGGTGGGGTGTCAGTGGCCTGGTACCTGCTGATGTGGGGATGAGGGCCTCTTTGCTCTTGTTGGTTCTGGCAGGATCCTGGGCTGGCCGCAGTGCCAGAACCTTGGGTAGAGGGGGCCTGTGTGGCTGGGGCAATGACTATGGGTGGGGCTAGGGGACCTGGGCTTAGGGCCACTTAGTGAGCCGGAGGGTCTTGCCCCGGCCCTTGTGGCCTTCCGTAGAGGGAGGGCTGGGGGCTATTCCCAGCCCTTGGGTGGAAGGTTGGAGGACAGGGCCAGGAAGTTTCCTCAGAGGAGAGAGGAATCCCAGTTCTCTGGGGCAGGAGGTTCTCCCAGTGCTGGGGGAGGGGGTTCTGTGGCGGAGGAGAGAGACCCAGTGGGCCTTGAGGGCTTGGTTAGGGTCTAGCAGGGCCTGGTGAGTGTCAGGGGAGGGCAGCACTCTGGCCCCGCCATCTGCCAAGCCCCTGCCCCTGCCCAGCCGGCCTTGGCGCCCGACATTCTCCTTGACCCTTCTTCAAACCCAAACATCTGGACAGTCTCCGTGGGGCCCTCGCCTTGCCTGGCTCTGCCTAGGAGGGGAAGGGGGTGCCCGTGCAGAGCCCAGGCCACAGCAGCGAAGAGGGCTCAGTCCTGGGTGGGGGGCCCGGCTTGAGGTGGCTGCCTGTGACCTGCCCCCCAGGGCTGCAGCCTCCCTGGTGTGAGGGGCTGTGGGACGTCTAATGGGTCTGCAGGAGCCGCACAAGGACAGAGGGCCTGCTGGATTCGTGGGTGCTGCTCGTGCAAATGGGGAGACCAAGGCTTGGGAGAAGGAGTTGTACCCCCAGCCACATGGTGCTGGCAGGTTGTCACTCCCTGTACTGTCCTGGCCTCTGGTGGGTGGGGAGAAGCCAGAACTCCTGGACGGTGGGTAGGCCAGCTGGCAGGAGGGGACCTGGGGGCTAGAAACACTGTAAGGGGGGGTATGGGAAAGCCTTGGGGGCTTTGCAATGGGGATGAGGGAGAGAGGGAGCCCTCCTGGAAACCCTGGAGCTGCTCAAAGCATGGAAGGGACAAGCCCAGGTCCCTGGCACTGGCAGCCATGCCCCCAGCTCACCCTGACTGCTCTGCCTCTCCTGGGGGAGAGTGGGCAGTCAGGGCCCTCAGCACCCCCTCAGCCACGTACCCAGGCCCAGGGTCCAGCACTGGAGGAGACAGAGGTCCCTTTACCGAGCCAGTGGGCTGGTGGAGCCCCTGGGGTGATGGGGGGTGCTTGCTGGGCAGGGAGCAGGTACAGAGCCTTGCGGGGGGACTTTGGCATCTCAAGGGGACCAGGCTCCTGGGCAGGTGTTCCCTTGGCCTGCAGAGAAGTCTCTGGGGTCACCTTATCTTGGGCTAGCAGAGGTGGCCTGGGCCCTGCAGGCTTCCGCCTCCCCGACCCACCCCTGCAGCTCCTCACCTGATGCCCCCTCCCGCTGGCCTGAGGCTGGCCTTGGGCCGTGCTATGGGTGGGGATGGCAGGCTTGATCACGAGGCCAAGGTCAGTGGGCCTGGTCCCCACTTGGATTTATGAAATGTTCTCCTAGGCCCCCTCCCAGCTCTTGCTGCAGGGGTTCTTCTGGATGCTGCCTCACAGCCCCTGCCTCTTCCACCCCTCCAATGTGGGTACCAGGGGACCAGCGTGGTAGCCCCTGGGGGCTGGAAGCCAGAGCAGGTTGGCTTAACCTATGCCTGTCCTGTGGCCATTTTGGGGATGTTTGGTCCAAGTTTAGCTGGGCAGGAGCAGGGGCCTGCCTGGCTGAGGCCTGCCCAGCTCTCGGTTCTAGGGGAGGGACTCCGGCCAACCCAGCCTCAAGGGCTGAGTGGGTGCTGGCTGCCAGTCGGACCTAGGCTCTGGGTGCTAGCTGGGCTTCCTCTGCTCAGGGCCCTGGAGGAGGCAGCTGTACCTGCTCGTCCTGCATTGTGGCCGTCCCCCCGACACCCTAGGTCCAGCAGAGCTGGGAGGTGGGCCATTCTGATGTGCGGCTGGAGGGGGCAGCCCTGAGGGGCCCTGCCTGCCCACTGACCCTGTCAAGAGGGTCTCTTGGCCTTCGTTGCTGAGCATCCCTGACTGCCTTGTCCCCTGCAGGCTCCTGCTTCTGGGTGGCTGTGCTGGACGGCAACGTGGTGGGCATTGTGGCTGCGAGAGCCCACGAGGAGGACAACACCGTGGAGTTGCTGCGCATGTCTGTGGACTCACGCTTCCGCGGCAAGGGCATCGCCAAGGCACTGGGCCGGAAGGTGCTGGAGTTCGCCGTGGTGCACAACTACTCTGCAGTGGTACTGGGCACGACGGCCGTCAAGGTGGCCGCCCACAAGCTCTATGAGTCGCTGGGCTTCAGACACATGGGCGCGAGTGACCACTACGTGCTTCCTGGCATGACCCTCTCGCTGGCCGAGCGCCTCTTCTTCCAGGTCCGCTACCATCGCTACCGCCTGCAGCTGCGCGAGGAGTGACTGCCGCTGCTTGCCCGTCCACCACCCCAGCTGCCCCGTCCACCTGTGCCCGCCTGCCCGCCGCCCAGTGCGGCTCTGCTTTCAGACCCTCACCTTGGCGTTTGTGTTGGGTTTTCCTTTTTCATCACGCGGTTCCCAGCTGGTCCTTGGGGTGCAGGGCTGTGGCTCTTCCACGACACTTTGGTAGGGGCGAGTTGTCTGCAGCCACGGTTCTTCGCCCTGCCCAGCTTGCCAGGTGGCTTGCCACACCTTGAAGAGTCGCACCTTGGACTTCTGCAGCTGTCCACAAGGCTGCCCAGCCCGCTGCCACTGGGGAAGGCCCAGCCTTGCCCACCAAGCACAGAACCTCTGCGACGAAGCCCCAGGCTATGGCTCAGCTGTGGGTCCCTGGAAGGGAGGCCTGCTGGGCCAGCCGGCCGCTGCCCCACGGAGCAGCAGGCCCTGCTTTGCTCTGTGCATGCTGAGGAAGTGGCCTGGCCGCAGCATGCCGCATGCCCACCGCCTCCCGCTGCTGCCCTGCCCAGACTGGACCCTGAGGCCTTGGCTGGTGAGAGCCCCTGTTCCAGCCCAAACTGGCCGCAGGAGGGCACACCCCACCACCCACCCCCAGCTGCTCTATGGAGGGGCCTCGACCGCCTTGTGCCACCCCAGCTTCATCCGCTCCCGCTGTGCTTTGACGAGAATCACCCTCCTTTCCTCCTAGTCCCTGCCCCTCCCCCGCCCGGGCTTGGCTGACTGGCAACATCACCCAGGGGGTGGTTCCCGTAGCAACCATTGCACAGCCATGGTGGGGGCCCATGGGGGGGCACCTTGCCCCCGTTGCCTGCTGGATCACAGTGGCCTCTCCCAGATGTCCCTGGGGACCTCCTGCACCCGGCTGGTGGGGTCTGCTCTGTGAATCTCACTAACCCAGGCTGCTGCTGACAGCGCCGAGCCCACAGCTTCTCCCCATTTTCTGATAAGTTATTTAGACAGAATAGCACTCTGCATGACTTTAATTCTTGGGACAAAACGGTAGTTTGTACCCTGAGACACACACATCTGTGTGGTGCTGGAATGTGCACTGTTTCTGGCCCAGTGTGACGGGGGGTGGGTGGCCAGGTGGGTAGAGGGTTTCACAGTTTGAAATCTGGAGGGAGACCCTGAGTTAGCATGAACTCCCACCAAGGAGCAGTCCTGATGAGTGAGGAGGTTCTGGATCGCAGGTGGAGGGGCAGGCGCAAGTGGAGTCCCGCAGCCACGGGGGCAGGGCTGGGCTCCTTGGGTCCCGGTTTGGGGGTGGTCTTGGCTCCAGCTGGCTGTGCTCCTGGCCTGGCCTCTCCTTCCCGGGGTCGGATGTGGGGGCTGGTCTGGGGGTGGGGTGGCCTGGGAAGTGGAGGGGAAGCAGGGGTGGCACGGCCGCACGTCCAGCCTGGACCTGGCTGGCCTTCATGGCTGGAGGGGCATGAGCACCCACCCAGGCCCCTTTGTGTGGGGCTAAGGGACAGGGAGGCGCGGGCAGGGCAGCCACAGAACTGGGTCCCAGGTAACAAGGCCACGTGCAGGGCCACAGAAGGGACCTTCATAAAAAGGTGCTTCAGAAATTAATGAATTAACGGAACAAGCCCAGCTTCCGAGGGGCCTTTTGTCCCGTTAGCAATTGAGGTATTTGCAGAACACTGTACAGACCCCGCTGTCCCCTGTACATTCCCCTGGTGGTGCCCGGTCCCTGGTCTGGGTGGGAGTTTTGTAGACTGTACAGAAATTGGCACCCTATTTTCTTGCAGCTCTCAGATTTTGTTAATCTGGATTATACAGACAGACGTAAAGTGTTTTAGCAAAATGGAAAACAAGTTGTGCCTTTTTCCTCTTTCTGTTTGGTTTGGGTTCGGCTTGGGCTGGTCTTAGTTGGCTTGGGGTGTATTGGGGCTGCTGGTGGTCTTGGGGCAGGAAGGGCAGATTGGGGCTGAGAGGTGTGTCTCGTGGGGTGAGTAGCTGGGGACAGCGCTGACTTTTTTTGATTCTGTGCCTTCTGAGCCTGCAGTTCCTGGGTGGTGGCTGGCAGAGCCTGTGGAGCTGGGGACTGCCAGTGTCTCCTGGACATTGACCTAGGGTGGGCTCACAGCAGATCCCCCTCCCAAGGGCTCAGAGGGTCATGAGGTGGTGGTGTGGTGCTCCTGTTCTGGCAGCCTCTGTCTGCCTGCAAGGGGTCCCTGGCTGCATGGCGGAGTGGGTAGTGGGACGCATGCTGGACTCTTGACCATTTTTTTTGTTGCTGCCAGGGCTTGGCAGAGATGCCAAGAAGGGTGTGGTGGGGTGGGCACGCACGGACGGAACCCTGCTGCCCAGCCAGTGAGGCGCACAGAGGCACCCATGTACCTGCCAGGCTGGCCTCGAGCTGCCTAGAGCCCTTACCAGGCCAGTGTGCGGCTCATGGGTCCTGGAGGGCCACCAGGGTCAGATCTCCCACCCACCCCCACAGCTGGAGGCTGGGCATGCTGCTGGGTGGGCCTAACCCTGGCCCACTTCATCCCTCCAGCCTGGGAGCTAACTGCTCCACAAATGTGCACTGACATGAATTTTATACGTTTGTAGAAATTCCGATGTTACTTTTTCTACCTCTGTGAAGCGCCCTGCGGGGCCCCGCTGTCCCGCGCCTGGTACAGCTTCCCTGAGTGTGCTGGCCTCAGCCCCTCCCACTCCCAGCTGGCCCTCGCCCCGCCCCCTGGGTGCCCAGGACCTATACCCTCCGCCAGCCTGGGCCTAGGCACTGCTCAGGGGTCTGGGGCTCCCAGGATTTCTGTTGGTGGTTTGGAAGCCTCTGTTTTTGGAGCGGGGTGGGCAGAAGGTGTGAGGTAGAGTATTCCAGAATGTCGGCATTAGATGAGCCTGCAGCACAGACCTGACAAGTGGCTCCTGGCTGCTGAGGCCTCCAGTGCCTCTGGACCGCCCAGTGCTACGCAGGCCCGTCAGTGGCCTCGTGTGCCACTGCCTAGCCATGGCTCTCTGCAGATGGCTGACCCCTGAGGGTGGGGGCCAGGGTGGGCTCCTGAGTGGGGGTCATGCCCCACAGGCTTGGCAGCATCTCCCCACTCCTTTCTCCACCCCACACCCAGCCTTGCTTCCCACTGGTGTCCCTCTTGGGGCTGGGCAGTGGTTGAGATGCTACCCCTGGGTAGATGGGTGAGGGACAGGTCAGCCTGGCCCAAGAGGGTGGCCCTGGAAGATGCTTAGGCTGGGAGATCATGGACAGCAGGCCTGCGGCCGGGAGGTCCTAGGGCAGCCGCCATCCTGCTGGGAGCCCCCTGAGGGAAGCTTCTTGGGCTGTCTGGCAGTTGCTGGGGGAGCTCTCTAGGCTTGTGAAAGGCCTGGCTCTAGCCTCTGCAAGGCATGTGGCCACTGGCAGGCCCGCCCCTACCTGCCTTGGGAGTGGCCCCAAGCCCAGGCCCTCACTGGAGCCCGATTCCAGGGCTGTGCCTGTGGACAGAGGCCAGGGAACTCAGGTTTCTGGGCTCTGTGGGTGCATGGGGCTTCATGGGGGCCGAAGGAGGCTCCCCACGGGGCACGGGGCTCTTCAGGCACACTGGGGCCACCTTCCTGTCAGTGCCCAAGGGACACCTGATAGTTGCCCAAGTCAGGGGGGCCACTGCCTCTCCCCTGTCAGGGCCTGTTGCGTTTGTTGCCTGTGGACTCACTTGTGTCTGTTTGGAAGCTGCTTCTGTCAGCCAGTGTTGGCCACAGGCCCATGTTGCTAGGCTGGTGGCTCTTTGGCTGACTCTTCTGGGGTCTGAGTTCTGGGCGGGGTGTGGGGCAGACCCCAAATGTGTTTGCTCCTTGGTGCCACTACCGGGGTGCTTCCAGCGGCATGTGGTGTCTACGCAGGGCGGCGGCACAGCGGCCCAGAGCCTAGGGAAGGAGCCCTGCTGTACCACTGTTGGATACGTTATTTTTTAAACAGCAATAATTAGCCATTTTAAAGAAGGAGTATACCTGTGTGTGTGTGTACACGTTTATGTGTATGTGTGAGCATTTGTGTACATATGTATGAGCATGTATTTGAGCATGTGTGTGAGCATGTACCTATGTATGAATGTGTGTTCTTACGTGTATGTGTGTATGCATATGCATGTGTGTGTGAATGTGTGTTTATGTGTGAGCATGCATGTATGCGTGGGCGTGCATGAGTATGGTAGCAGCCAGGGAGCTTGGCAGGCAGGGTCTGGCTTGGGAGGTGCTGGGCTCCTCCTGCCCCTCAGCGGAGCAGGGGCCTCGGTGGGTGCTGGCCCGGCCCCTGCCTGCCCCGATCGCCGGCTCCCTCTGGCCCCAGGGCAGGTCCACGGTGAGCTCGTGGGAGGGTTTCGCCTGTTGGGGTTTGTTCCCGAAACTGTACTGTGAGCCCATGATAGGGGCGGGGGTTGTCCTGAGACTCCAGGATGTGCCAAAACAGCCCCCAGGGCTGGGGCTACCAGCTGAGTTCCAGGAGACTGCAGGGCCAGAGTGGGTGTGCCCTCCTCCTGCACAGCCCCGATGCTGCTGTTTTTCAATAAAACCAGAGTTGAAGGACCTGGCTCCAGTGCTTTCTTGAGGCACCTCATGTCCTGGGTGGCAAGGCTGGCTTTCTGGGGACATGAGCCTCCCCACAGTAGTTTTCCCTTGGGCTCCCCTGCTCCCTCCCCCGATCAGCTCCCCTCCTACCTCGTCCTTCCCTACCCTTTAGCCCCACCAATCTGGGCTGCTCTCCTGCCTGTGACCCTGGAGGAGCAGGGGGGAGGGGTGGGGAGGGCCCACCTCCCTGGGCAGGCACCCAGCCCAAGCCTCCCAGGTGCCATCTAGGGAGGCGTGCCCGGGCTCCTCTCTGGCCTGGTGCCATAGCCTGTCCCCCTGAGTGTGGTGCCTTGAGGAGGCATTCATGTACAAGCTTGCACCCCCCTGAGTGGCACCCCAGGGGCTCTGCCCTCCTCCCCACCAGCTTCTGGCTGTGGCCTGGGCATCCAAACTCTTGGCACAGCTGAGTCAAGACCGCTGGGCCCCTCGAGCCCCACCCCTGTCCTTGCTCCCCTGGCGGAGACCCCAGCCCGGCCAGGCCCCACTGCTCTGTCCTGGCCCTGGGGCCTGGGTACTCTCAAGGCTGAGACTCTGGGTTTGCAGGTGCTGGGGTCTGGGTGCTATCAGGGTGTTGTCCCTCTCCTGTGTCTGCATCCCCTGCTGGGCTTCCTTGTCCTCCCGGTTCTCAGTTCCAGTGGTTATGCCTGTTCCTGTGCCGGCAGCCCCTGGCAGGTGGTGCCACCGCAGGCCTAGGCATCTGCCTGCCCAGCACCTTGGAGAAGAGCTCAGCTCCAGGGGGTGGTGTGAGGTTTGGGATCCAGGTGCGTGGGCATCAGGGCTGACGAGGGTTGTTGGGGGAAGCCCAGTGTCCAGAGGGAGGGAGGATGACTAGGGTATGGGGTCTAGGCCGAGGGATGCCGGGTGGTGAGGAGGGTGCTGGTGGGCTACAGCACACATTGGGGTGGGGGGTGGGGTCTCAGGGACAGTGAGGTGCAGGGAGGACACACCGCTGCCCTGTCAGACTCCAGTGCAGGGTATCAGCCTGGTGACACAGGCAACCTTGGAGCCTGGCATCCACCAGGTACAGACCCTGCAGCCCAGGCCTCTGGACAGCTTTCCTCCTCAGGGTTTCCTCTTGGCTTCCCCTTCCGGGCACCCTCCCCAGACCCTCCTGGCCCAGGAGCCCAACCTTCACACATTTCTTCCCAAAGAGCAAGGCCAGGTCAGGGTCTGCCTCTCTCAGCCAGCGCAGGGGGCTGGGCAGTCTCTGCTCAGGCTCAGGTAACAAATGGCAAAACCCATCCCTGGGAATGTCTCAGCAGAAACTGCAGCCAGTGGATGCAGAAGCCTGGTTTATTCTGAAACCTAAAGCTGCCTTCGCCCCTGCCCCACCTGCTGGACAGCACCTCACTGTGCTAGTTCTGCATGAGCTGCTCTGCGGAAGCCCAGGAGTGAGGGCACCTTGGAGTGACAGACAGAGCAGGGGTGGCTGACCGACCCAGCTTGGGCCACACACCCACATGCATACTTGTACACTTGTACTCTCGCGTGCACACACGTGGATGCACACGCACAGGGCAGGGGAGCAGCAGCACAGCTGGCACAGAGGGGCGCAGCGGCAGTTCTGCACCAGCTGTCTGGAGTGCTGTGATGTTCCACCCACTGTGGTCAGGCCACCCAGAATCCTGCACATGCTGTGAAACCAGTGAAGAGATGAAGCCATGAGAACACAGGCCGTTTGGCCCAGTGTGGGCATCACCCTCCTGGGGAGGAGGCAGGCCAGCTGCTTCCCCAGCCCTGGGACAGGTGCCTGGGGCTCCCCAGGGCTGGGGGTCGGGAGGGGCAAGGCCAGTGTGGCATGGCACCGATCCAGGGCTGTGGGCTACACCTGGCTGTCCCACTGAGGCCTCACCTGCGCTGGACACACGGCAGGTGTCTGACAAACGGTTGCTGAATGAACGGAGGATGAAGGAAAGGGCCTCCAGAGCCCCCAGACCATCGGTGAGACACTGGGGCACAGTCCACTGTGACCACCCAAGTCTGCCAGAAGAGCTGATGCGTGTGCAGTGGGGCCACAAAGGGAGCAGAGCACATGAAACAGTCACCACCTAAACAGAAAGGCGTGGCACACAGACGGGGAGTCCCACTGCTCAGACCCAAGGTCCAATAGGCTCCCTGACAGGTGCCACGGGGCCCCTCCCCTACACACGGAGAGTCTGTGCCAGTTGTTTGGGGGGCTCCCTTGGGGGCACCAGCCTGACTCAGTCTCTGGTCACCAGGCTGTAGGAGGCTCCCCGGAGAGACCGGGGAGACCTCGTGGCCTGGGAGTGTGCGACTCCAAAGACCCCCGACAGCCCAGCTGGTCCTTGGCTGTGAGTCTCCTGCTTGAGGCTGTGTTCTCTTGCTTCCTTCAGGGCTGCACCGGGCCAGCCTGGGAGAAAGGTGCACACTCTGGGTGTGGCTTCTAGAAGCTAAGGGGGACAGCAATGAGGACACCCCAGGGCCTCCAGGCTGCTGGCAGCTCCTTGGGCATCTGTCAGGGGTGAGCAGCTGTGGAGTCTCAAGGGAACCCAGTCCCCTGGGTTCCCGGGAGAAGGAGCGGGGAGTGCACCCTCAGCTGGGCTGGGTCTGGGTCACTCCCGATTTGGGGCACTCAGCCCTGCCTCTGGCCCAGTGACTGGGGGCTGCGGACATGGTGTTTCTCACCCACTGGAAGAATTCACTCAGACAAGGACAAGGATGGCTTCGCACAGGCGTTTACTCTAGGGATGACTGGGCCACCCCAGCCCCCAAAGGGTTAATGTACAAAACTGCTGGTGACCTTGGGGAAGGCCACACAATGGGCTGGTAGAAACCAGCTCTCCTTTCCCACGGTTGCCTGGGGTTACAGACAAAATGAAGGAGAAAAATGCGCTGGCGGTGGGGGGTAGGTGCTGACGGAGGTAGCCAGGCTGTTGCTGGGAGGCTCAGTGCCACTTGGACCCCGGTGAGGGCCCAGGGCCTCCTGCAGTGGCACCAGGTGTCCCCATGAGCGGCCAGCAGTCAGGCTCACCTTTAAGGGCACCTGTGGGTGACAGCCAGAGGTGAGCCCCTGGCCTGGGCCAGCTGTCACCTGCCACTTCCCAGGCCCACATGCACAGAGGCACACCCCCAAAGACCCGTGATTAGACAGCCTCAGGCACACATGCACACACACGTGCACACTCATGCACACCCGCCCAGCGGTAGACAGGCTCACACCACAGCCACCTCCCAGTCACGAGGCCTCGACCTCAGCTGAGATCTCCCGACCTACCAGGCCTCTGTGCCGGTAAGTAGGCCAGGCAAGGTGCCCTTGAGTGGGTGAGGTGTGTCCTGGGGCGACCTGTGTTATCACCTTGGGGCCCCTGCCTTTGGGGCCACTGGTGGCTCCTTGAGGTGCCAGCTGGGCAAGAGAGCCCTCCTGGGGACTTTGATCCTGAGTGGGCTCTTGCCCAGGGCTCGGGACTAAACCTTAACAGCTTCTTCTTGACAGGAAGGGCGGGACCAGGCCCCAGCTGCAGCCCCTGTCCCCACAGCCCCCTGCATCCTGTCCTGAAGGGCTCCTGCTGGTGGTAGGGGATAGGGGTGTCCAGGGGCCACCCAGCTCCCACATGTCTCCCTGCTGCAGGCCAGGCTTGTCTGGACTCTGCCCCAGAAGGCAGGAGTCCCCTCCCTGGTGGGGTGCAAGGGCTGCTGCTTGAGCCCACCAAGTCACCAGTGGACCCTGGGGACTCTGGCCTGCTGGTTTCCCCCCCTTCTTCCTCCTTCCCGGGGAGCCTGCACCCAGTGGCCCAAAAGTCTTTCCTGGTGAGGACCCAAACCAGAACTGCCTTGAGAGACTAGCCAGGTACAGGGGCTGGGCAGGGTTGGATATACCCTGGGGGTGCCCCTGGGGCAGTGGGGGCCCCAGTGCCCACATCCCCAGTAAGAGTGAGCCTCAGAGAAGGTGGGTTTGGCCAAAGGCTGGGTGGCCATGGCTGGAGGAGGATCCCTGGCTGGTGGGGGCAGCTTAGGGTACCCATTGGGGCCTCTCCCCAAACAGACAGCCAAGCCACCTGGGGAGCAGCGACCACTCGGCAGGGCTGGGCCGCACCTTCTGTCCCTGCGCTCCTGCCCTTCCACTAGCTGCACCCACCTTGGGCAGGCTCTGGGGAGGCCTGGGTGGGCTAAGTGTCCCCCTCACCTGCAGCTGCAGCTCCAGTGCCCGCACCTGCTGCAAGGACTCCATGGTTTCCCGGACAAGAGCTAGAACACAGAGAGAGTGCGAAGGCCCCGCTGGTCTCCTGGCCTTGGGGACCTTCCAGTTAGAGTCCTGCCTGGCCCCCCACTCCCTAGGTGTTTCACGTGTCCACACTGTCACCTGGACCAGTTGTGGGGGCTTCTGTGCCCACAAGCAGCCCCTGGAGTGCCCCCTGCCCCCGAGGCTGGTTCCAGTTCTCCCTGGCCATGTCCATGGCCCAGTACATCGCTTGCAGAGGCTTCGGCCCCCCTGCAGTCCCTCTGCCTGGTCTGGCCCGCCACACTGCACTGGACCTCACCCCTCGGCCTCAACTCACCCCAGCTGGGGCTAGCCAGGTAGGGTGTGGCGGTTGCCAAGCCAGCTCTGTCTAGAGGCTCTGGGGCTGGGCAGAGGGAGCGGGACAGGGCAGCCCCCACCGGCCAGAGCAGCCTGGGCACACAGGAGGACCTGGGATCCTCCACTTTTGGGTGAAGGTTGATGTAATGTCAAGCCCGTGAGGGTAGCTTTGTGTTGCTGGTGGGTTGGCCCCATCTTGGGGGCCTGGGTCACTTGGGGCGGTGGAGCTCAGAGCCCTGTGAAAGGGACAGCCTGGGCTGGGGAGGGTTGGGATCTGCTAGCTCAGTGTTTCTCAGAGTTCCTTTGTGCCCTTTTGATAAACACGAATATTTCATTCTGCCTTTCTGTGTTATTTAACACCTCAGCACAAAGATTGTGATAGAAATACGCAAGCAATGGCCAGGTGCCGCTTTGTTTTCCAGCCCCCGGGTCCCTGTGGAGCCAGGGACCTCTCTGTGGAACTGGTCCCTGGTCCCTGGGGTGCCTAGGCAAGGCCAGCAGCTGCCCAAGGGCCAGGGACCCTGAGCTCTGAGGGCCTCAGTTTCCTCCTCTGTGCAGTGCAGGGTGGCCGGTGGGCTGGGAGCTGGTCACCGTGGCTGCAGTGGCGGGCAGATGGCCCTGTGCACATGTGGGGAGCCCTGCAGGGGGGCTGGGGCCACCCTGGGAGCTGCAGGGCTGTCCGGGAGCTTCCTATGGGGAGCATGGTCCGTGCTAGGTCTTTGGCCCCCCTCACACTGGCTGGGCCACACCGGTGTGCAGGGAACTGGGACCCCCAGAGAGGGGCAGTGAGTGATGGAGCTGGGCCTGTGCTCAGCCAGGGCGCTCCCTGCGGTTCCCTCACCCAGGGCAGGCGGGACTGCTGAAGCCAGTGTCCAAGAAGAGAAGCCCTAGCTGCTCACTGCCTGGCAGGCTGTCCTGACCAGACAGCCCTTCAGAGCTGGCACAGGCCCTGCTGACACCTGGCTCACCTGGCCCCACAGTCCCTGGCCCCAGTGTTGTTTGTAGAGCCAGGCTTGGGGTGCCGCCTGCCTTTTTAACCTACTGCTGAGTATATACTTGTCAAATGGCCACACAAGATGGGTTTGTTTTCTAGCTATTTCCAAAGGGGCTGCTGGGCAGTTTTCAAGCAGCAGAGCTCTAGGAAGGAGCTGGGCTGAGTGGACGCTAAGGATCAGAGCTCCACACCCCACCTTACAGGGACAGACCCTGAGGGGGGTGGGGCCAGGAGGGCACAGTGCTGTAAAGGGGGGGCTTGCACACGCCCCAAGCTGGCCCACTTACAGATCCGGCCGGGAGCCAAGGGCGCGGGGCCATGTGGGCACCTGCTCTCGCCCCCTCGCCAATGAGGCCAGAATCACAGCCTCCAGGGGGCCAGAGACTAGGTGTTGGGGGTCCTGGCCCTCCCTAAGGAGAAAGTGGTCACTGGCTTCAAAGAAACCCTTTGGCTGACAGCTGTGGTGACACTCCCTGGGCACATCCGTGGGCACAGTGGCTCAGCAGAGAGGGCTGGTTTGGGGGACAGGGTGGGACCTGGCCTGGAGCCTGCACTGAGCCTAGGGTCACAGTGACCACCCCCGGCAAAAACATCCCTGCTGGCTCTGCAGCCTGGCCCCAGTCTGCCTGGGTGGCCATGGCCCAGTCCCTGTCTCTCCAGAACCTGCAGGCTTTGAGGCTGAGCTGGCCTGGCTGTCGACACCACCCTCTGGAGCTCCACACATGCTCTGGAGCACCTGGTGCTTTTTGAGGGGCGCTGGCCTGGGGTGGAGCCCACCTGAGCATTCCAAATGTCCCCACAGCCAGGCTCCCCTCAGCCTGCCAGAGTCCAGGTGTCAGGCAGCAAGAGCCAAGGGAAGGGCCATGAAGAGGCAGACAGAGGAGATGCTTCCCTGGGGTGTCCCCACCAGATGTTGAATCTCCTCTTACCTACTCACGAAAGAACCCGGGCTCACCTGCAAACATGGGGACCTGCGAGTCTTCCACTTCAAACAGCAGTTCATCATGAATCTGGGCAACCAACCTGAAGGGAGGAGGGAGTAAAGTCACCCTGGGAGGCCAGGCCTCGGGATGGGGGGACTCGGGGTCACGTGCAGACATGGGGGCCCATCCGCCAAGGTTCCTGGAAGGTGGTTCTGGCACTGGGTGTCCGAGAGGATGTAGCTTTGTGGGCTGTGGGGAAGATCCAGCCTGTGGGCATTGCTGCCCACGGTCACCCACTGTCACCAAGCCAGCTCCCAGGGACGCTGCGAGAAAGGTGGGAGGAGAGGGAAAAGGCCCAGGCCAGAAATGACTCTGGAGAGTGGGTGGCAGGCAGCAGGATCAGTGAGAGGGGCTGGGTGGCCTCTTGTCCGCCCCACCCCAGGGAGCACTTCATGATCTGAAAAGTCTGGTGGGTGGAAGAAGAGAGCCCCTTGAATTGTTATAGGGAATGGGGCTTTGATGTGGACTTGGAGGAGGCATGGGTCCACTGTGGGGCAGGGAGATAATTCTGGAACATGGGGACCCTGGGGAAGCTGGGAGTACCCATCCCATACTGAATACCAGCTTAGAGAAAGGTGATTGGAGGGGCAATGCTCTTTTTAAATTTTATTTAAAGAAATAAATACTGAATAAAATTTGGAAAAGACATCAAAATTTGAAAGTGTAAAACAAAATATCCTCAGTCCTCCCTCCATGACCACAGTGGGCATTTGGAATGACGTGGTTGTGACTGGACACGCACTTTTTCCTGGAAACAGGTCTTCACATGGAGGCTGCCCAGACAGCTGGGGCACGTGGCTGCAGACCCCAGCCCCCAAGACCTGCCCTCCCCTCTCAGTGGCCCTGGGTCCTAGGGCTGAACCCTGTGGACGCCATCATGGATCCCTGAGCCCCAGTGAGTTCCTGCACTGGATGCCAGGTCTCCAGGGCTGCTTTGTCCTGGGGAGCACTCCCTGATGGTCTCAGGAACAGCCCCACCCTTCTCCAGCGGTCCTTCATGGATTCCCCCAGGGCCCCTCCTGGGGCATCAGTAGGGAGAGAAAGTGGGAACTGACTGTGGGGGGAGATTCAGGTGACAGGCACTGCCAGGGACAAGGGTCTCTTGGGCAGGGCTTAAAGATTCAAGTGCAGGTGCACATGTGTGCACAGAGGAGGGACAGAGCCACGGGGACATGAGCGGCCACATGGCATATGCTATGGGCTGGATGTGACCAGCACGCTGCAACTTCGCATGCTCTTTGGAAGGTAGGATCGAATTGGCTCATACTTGAGCAGATGATGCCAGAGCATTTCCATGGACGTGAGGCCACTGCCAAGGGCTGCGGACCCCATACCTGGTGCCAGCCCCTCCTGCAAGGAGGATGAAGGTGGCTCACCCACACACTCAGGGAGGAAGCCTGCTGTATAAACTCACAGGGTGGTCAGGAGGGCCTGCAGCCTGCAGAAGGATGGGGGCTGTGGAGGGTTCCCATGTACTTGTCCTCTGTGTGCCCTTGGCTCTGTCTCCTACACTGGGTCTTTGAGGGCAGGGGTCATGTCAGATCCTTGTTGCCCCTGCTGGTTGCACAGGGGAGGTGTGGCAGGCCTCACTGGGCAGTGGTGTTGGGCATGTGATGGTGAACCCTGGCTGGGATGTGGGAGCAGCTCTTCCAACCCCGGTGCAGAGACAGACATGGCTCATGTTAGCGCTTTCAGCATAAGAGTGGACTCTGCAGCAGAGATTTAAGGTGGCCTGCTCCAATCCGCTCTTCCTCTCTTTCTTCCTGTCGGCCCCTTTGCTGTTGGGTGGGGTGGAGATGGGACTGTGCCCCAGCTACAGACAACACTTCCCAGGCTCTCCCTCAGGGGGCGTGGCCCAGGAGGCATATACCCCTCCACTCTAGGAGGGCTCTGTAAAGGGCTGAAGTGGCCAGGGGCAGGGCTCTTATTTTTCCCCCTCTTCTACTCTGAAGGAAAAGGTGCTCTTTTGACCATCATTACTTTCTCATTTTGCCTGAAAGGTGTTATGAAGGCTGGAGCAGCTACCTCTGTCACGCCACTGAGAGGCAAGGGGCCAGGGAACCAGAGGGACTTTGGTCCTGCTGCTCCGAACCTCTGAAACAAAGTCAGCAACCACTGTGCTCTGGGCTTCCCATGATGGGAGAAAATCCACCTTCTGGAGTCCAAGCTGCTATAGGTGGGCCTGTGCCACTAGTGGCCAAGTGCACATCCTGATGGGTGGGCATCCACAGGACCTCATGCGGGGCCCAGACTATGGAGTATTGGTGCTCATACCCTCTGCTGCAGGCTTTGTGTGCAGCCTATGGCCATGGCCATGGGCACTGCCCTTCCAAAGTCAGATCAGGCAAGAGCTGGTGGAGACCAGGCTGGTAGCATCAGCATGTGCTTTTTTTTTTTTTTTTTGAGACAGAGTCTCACTCTTTCACCCAGGCTAGAGTGCAGTGGTATCACCATAGCTCACAGCAACCTCAAATTCCTGGGCTCAAGCGATCCTCCTGCCTCAGCCTCCCTGGGTGAGGATTACAGATGTGAGCCACTGTGCCTGGCCAGCACACACTTTCTTAAACTAACTTCAAGGCCTCTGGCAGAGTCTTTGGCTCCCGAGAGGACTTACTTTTCAAATGGTGGAAACCTCGGAAAATGCATTTGTAGCTTTTTCCAGATTTAGCAGAAATAGTTTTCACACTTCTTGAAATTCCATCGTGAACTTGTGAGCTGCTGGTGTGGCAGTAACCTAAGAATAGGTGTGACTGTTAGTCACCTACATGTCACTCTCACAGCCACTGAGACATGACCATGTCTCAAATTGGAAAGTGGGGCATAGGAAACAAGGAGAAACAGTCATTTTAGTGTGGGGGCAGAGGATCCAGGGCCTTGGACCCTGTTGTCTTCCAGACTGGAGCTCATTGCTTGTATAACTTCCCATCCCTGCTCCTGAGGGGGGTTGGCCCACAAAGCCACTGTGCGCTACATCTAGACGGCCTGACTGAGATCCTTGCTCCCATGGGGGAACATTCCAGATCAGCTCATCTCCCTGTCTAGGGCATGCCGTCCAAGGGCTCCCCTAGCTCTGCTGTCCCCTTTGTGCATTTGTCCTGAGAGTGCACATGTGGTGGCCCCACCCCAAATCCCCACCAAAAGGCCTGGGAAGGGAGTGCTGCGGCTCCCAGTGGAACTGGTGCTGGCCAGGCTGTGCATGAACTTGGACAAGTTGCACTGGGCTCCGTGCCTCAGTTTCCCCTTCTCTACATGCAAGTGTGGCAGTTGAAGGTCTCTGAAGCTTCCTTCCAGCTCTGACATGTTCTGAAACCCAGAAAGGCCTTTCCATAAAGGGCCCCCATGAGAAGAAACAGGAGGGGATCTGAGCTTCCCGGCACACAGGCCTACAAATGCCGACCACTGGCCTGCTCTGGGCCTGACCTCTCTGGTTTTCTCAGGATCTGGACCGAGAGGCATGAATGGACACCATGTCCCTGTCCTGGGGGACTGTGGGTGGTGAACGGGGACTGTCCTGTAGCCCTGCTCCCCTCGGGCCCTTGGGTGGCTCGATGAGGCCCTAGGGCAGTGGGTGCCTCAGTGACTGCGTCTCACTCACACTCCTTCCTTCAGGCAAAGATGTGGCCCACATGCGGCCTGCCCTGCCCCTTCCACTGTCCAAAACCTTCCAAGTTACTCCTGGAAGAACAAGTTATAGTCACAAAACACAGCGTGTGAAGTGCCATGTGAGTCTGCTTTGCTTTCTGAGACGTCGCAGTGCATTTTGCCAGGAGAAGAGTTTCCTAAGGATGCAGAGGGCTGATGATAAAAAGACGGCCAGCGGTCATTAGATCCCTGAGCAAGACTGTGTGTGCTCAGCTTCCAGCAGGACTCAGTCACCAGCAAGGAGAGACCCAAGTCTTCAGGGACCAACTTCCTTCATAGATTCCACAAAACCTGTCTGCAGGACTGGAGGTCATTTAAAAAATAATAATTCCACAAAAACTGAAAATGAATTGACTTTTCTAGACTTGGAGAATCTTGGATGCAGAACAACTGTTTGGCTTTCAATTCCTGCCTAGCGGAAACTAGCACAGGCTGCTCATCTTCTGTGAGAAACTATAATTCGCCTGCAGGACGTGTGGATTTTAGGAAATAATCAGAAAACCATGAGAAAACCCAGGGGCCACTAGAAGCTGCCTGGCATTGGCATGTGTGCATATGTGTGCATGTTGGGGAGGGAAGCACATGGCAGGGGAAACTAAGTGAGAGCAATGCTTTTAATCCCCTCAGTTACTGCAGAGGTCAGAGTTGCCCCCAGAGCCCCGGGCAGGTATGAGGGGGGCCACTAAGGACAGTTTGGATCTACCTGGGGCCTCAGGCAGCATCCTTCCCAGGGCCCTGGGCAATAGCCCACGGGCTGCTCCTCCCCAGAGGTTAAGGTGACTGTGGACAGAGGAAGTCCCTGGAGGGATGTCAAAGGGGAGGGCCACAGGGTCTGTGGCTTGCAGACGTCTCCTCCCTGTCCCTTTACTAGGTGCCACCCACAGGCCTCCGGCAGGGCCTTTGCCTGGTACAAGTGTGCACAATGTTGCTGATCACCAAAGGAACACAGGCTCAAAAGTCAGAATGAACAGGAGGAAATATTTGAAGACATAAAGGAGATAGTTTTCAAAAGAGAGATGAAAGATCTCTGAGAAGGAAAAAAAAAATCATACCTTGAGAATGTAAAATAATATCAGAAGCCAAGAGAAAGTTGTAAGCTCAGATGGAAAGGGATGGCCATGCACAAACAGGCCCCTACACCCCAAAGGCAGGGTGCCATGGGGGCTGTGGTATGGGGCCGGTGAAACCTGTGTCACATTTTATGATCTAGAAAAGCTGCTGCTTCGACTGCCATGGGCTTCATGTTGGAGGTGCTGACCCACCTGGGCACAGCATCTGCAGAGGCCCCGCAGGACTGGCATGAGCAGCCTGAGGGCCCTTAGGGTGGGGGTGGGTGGGAGGGAGCAAGGTCTGACAGGGTCACTTCTTGGAAGGGCTCCTGGACTTCTTGAGGAGAACCCAGCCCCCCAGGAGGAGGAGGCATCTGTGCTGCAGCCAACGCCAGGCCAATGTCAGCTGGGAGGAGCTGGCTGGGGCCAGGGCTCCTTGTCTCCCCAGCCCCCTGGGTGTGCGTCCCAGAGTGAACAGCTGAGGCAGAGACAGAGACTTGAGAGAGCTGTGGCCCTGGGCAGCCTGGGGGAGCTCCCACCAGTGAGGGTTGTCTGAGTGTTGGTTTTGGGTTGGGGCTGTTGCAGCAGGACCTGAATGTCTGCACACTGGTGCTGGTGGCAGCAACAGGGCTGGGGAGTGGGAGTGGTTTGGAGTCCAAGGAGCTGTGGCATCCACCTGCCACTGGGGTGGGCAGCCTCGTGGGGTGCCCTGTGGGACGTGCAGACACCCCGGGAGGAAGGCTTCAAGGGAGGCAGCATTTCTGTCCCAAGAGGCTTCGTCTGTGCCGCAGGCTGGGGGATGGTGCTGCCTGTCTCAAGGGGCCCCCAGGGCTCTGCAGCTCAAGGGGCTCAGGCTCCCAGGGTTCCTTTGCTCGGGGCTGGCAAGCAGTCAGAATCCAGATCCCACAGACAGGAAGTTGTGGGCCCAGCGCGGTCCGCTCACCCAGCAGCCACCTCCTGCCCATGCCCGGGAAAGGTCACCTGGCACAGACCTGGCGGTCAAGGTCGGGGAGGCGGCCACTGCAGTGAAGATGTGGACCATGGCCATCTTGCAGAGGTCGGCGGCTGAGCCTGTGGGCACAAAGGGCTGTCTCAGGGCCCCGTGATGGGGCGCCTGGAGCCCGCTGGTCATGAGCCACTTGAACACAGTGGCTGAAGACAACTGAGGAGGCAGACACCATGTCCTCCCTCGACCAGCCACCTCTTGCTGCTGGGGGGCCCCGGAGGGCAACACAGGACGGAGCTCCAGGTCTGGCTCTAGTGCTGGCTGAGCTCCTGAAGCCTCAATTTCCCACCTGTGTATGTGGGGAAGACCACTGTCTTGGCCGGCTCTTGTGGGAAACGTCCTAATTATAAAGAACATCATGCCCTGAGCACCTGCCACCTGCAGGCGCCATTCACTGGTGCCTCCTGACAGAAACCACAGGGCAGGACAGGTGATAGCCATGGAGCTCCTGGAGGAAGGGCTTGCTAGGACAGGAAATATCCAATCCAGAACTATGGGGCAAGGGGCTGGCAAGGGGCTGGCAGGCGGCAGGTGAGCGAGGGCCTATACCTTGCACCACGAAATTCACGGCCTGTCGCTCTGCTTGTGCCCGGAACTGCTGGTCATGTGCACAGATCCTTGGCAGGGCTCTCCTTCTGCCCATGAGGGACACCACGTAGCCTAGGTCACACAAAGGAAAGGCAGATGAGAGACGGAAATGAACAGGCAGTGTGGCAGGTGTGGCTCCCCTCGGGTCAGGACCAGAGCTCCAGAGGGACATCCTGCCCAGCGCTGGCTCTGAGCCTCAGGCATGGCCCCCTGGTCCATTGCCAGGGCCTGTGGGGCCCGTGGTAGGAAAATGGGGGTCTGCAGTAGGCCACTGGCTAGGAGGCACGTTTCTGCACTGTTCTGACTTCAAGCTGCACTTAGATCTGACCTAGGGTGAGGGATGGCAGTTTTTCTACTATCAAAGTTGTTCAAAGCCACGTGTGGGACTTGGGCACAGGAGTAACTCTGGGCTGTGTGGCAGCTGGACTGGAGGAGCAAGGCATCCACCCACACTCCCTGCAAGGAGGGCTGGATATCTGAGAGAGTCTGCCTCTCTACAGGGGGCAGATCCAAGTCTTGTGGGACCTGTGCATACCTGAAGCATATGCAATTTGGGGGCTCTACGAAAGTGAACACCAACAATCTGCATTTGTTGAGGATATTCCTGACCAGTGAGGATTTCTGTTTTAACTAGGTATTGGTGAGAAATATATGTTCCCCTTGTGATTTTACATGTCTGAAGACTTTCCTACATATATAATAATCATAAAAGTGACAATTATTGGTCCAGAGTGGTGGCTCATGCCTGTGATACCAGCAATTTGGGAGGCCGAGGTGGGAGAATCACTTGAGGTCAGGAGTTTCAGATCAGGCTGGGCAACACAGCGAAACCCCTGTCTTTACAAAAAATTTTTAAAAATTAGCCATGTGTGGTGGTACACTCCTGTACTCCCAAGTACTCAGGAGGTTGAGGTGGGGGGAATCACTTGAACCCAGGAGTTCAAGGCTTCGGTGAGCTATGATCACACCACTGCACTTCAGCCTGGACAACAGAGCAAGACCCTGTCTCTAAAAACAATAAATAAATAAAATACACATTTAAAAAACATATTACAAGACTGAATGACTGAAAACTTTCTTTTTAAGATCAGGAAGAAGACAAGGATGTTTGTTCTCACCAATTCCATTCAATGTTGTACTGAAGGTACTAACCATAGCAACAAGGCAAGATATTAATATAAAGGCCATTTATACTGGAAAGGGAAAGTGAAATTTAAAAACCTTTTCAGATGATGTGATCATCTAGGTAGAGAATCCTAAGGAAAGTACAAAAAGAAAAAGGAGCTACTATAGCTGATACATGCAGAGTAAGACCCTTCCCCCTTCCCAAAAAAGTGACAAAGTGACAGATATTGAGTACCCACCACATGCCAGGCAACCTACCAAGCCTCCTGAGAGTGATTGCAGTGAGGACAGGGGAGCCTGGGCTTCGGACATGGTCCCTCTCTGTTCCTGCAGCTTCATCTGTCTAGCAATTTCTGACCAACGCTGGGTATTGTGACTTTATGTTGTTGAATGCTGGGGTTTGCTGTCTTCCTTTCAAAAGTGTCTTGGCAGGCTTCAGTTACTAGCTGATCATCCTGATCCTTTTGAAGTCTGTTTTTAAGCTTTGCTAGGGTGGGTTTAGAGCAGCCTTTAAGGCTAGTTTAGACCTACCTCTAAGGTGTGACCCTTGTGAGGTCTCTACTGAAAGTTCCAGATGTCCAACAAGGACTCTCCACTCCGAATGGCCAGAACTCAAACATCTCCCAGCCTGCATGCACTTTGAAATTGTGCGTGTACTGCTCCCCAGCAGTTACTCTGCTTACTCCTGTGGAGTTTCCCTCTATATGTTTATGTCTTAGTACTCAGAAACAGACACAAGGGGGCCCTTTGATGTATGGAGCGCTCTCTCTGCAGAGCTCCCTTCTCTCTGATACTCTCCTTGCAAAATCTCGCTGCCTCTGCCTCCCCAATCCCACCCTATGTCTGCTCTACTCAGCAAGAGCCTTGCTGTCTGCTGGGCCTCCTCTCCCACACTACAACCTGAGGCTCCAGACACAGGGTACACAGGACTCACCTCGCTCGCTCCTCTGCTCTCAGAGTCCAGAGCAATATGCTGTCCACTATCTAGTGTCAGGAAACAGCTGCTTCCTATGTTTTGCCCAATTTTCCAGTGGTTTATGGTGGGAGCAAAATCTGAAGCCTGTGACTCCATTGTGGCCAAAGCGGAAGTCCCCCATTCCAAGCATTTCGAGTGTTTCTTCTCCACTTGCTGCTCCCAGTGCTGTGACCCCAGCTCCTGCTCATCCTGAGAGACGCCCTCAGGCCCTGCCACTTCACGTTGCTGCCTGGAGTGGAAGCAGTGCTCCTGGAAGCCACTCCTGTGCTGCGACAGCACGCACCCTCCACCACACACAGGGAGGCAGCGTGCACAGGAATACCAGCAGCGGCTCCGAAATGGCATAAACAAGCCGCCATCTCAACTTCCCCTTACCTACATTACAAAACTGGCTGTGGCCCCTCTGCCACCACCAGGCATGGAAAAGCATGAGGTGGAGAAGTTGGGGCTGAGGCAGCAGTCCTGGTTGGCTGTGTCTTGCTTTCGCCAAGCTTGCAAAGGACGGTGCCATGCCAGCTGTCATCCATCCCAGCTAAGGCCCAATGTGGTGTGGAGGGCACTGCCCAAGGACTTGGCCCAAGCTGCCCACACACACCGCCACTGAGCTAACACCTGCATCACTTCTAGACAGTTCCCAGGTGGTGGCTCTGACTGCAGCCTCTCCCCTCAGTCTCTTTCCTACACTGTTACCAGAATTGTTTCTGAAGGATGAATGCCAGGTTCCTTCCATGCGTAGCATCATGCAAGGCTGGGCTCGTCTGGCCCTGCCTGTCCTCTGGCCTCTCCTACATGCCCACACTGGCCCTGTGCACCCTCCTTGGCCTTTCCTGTCCCAGCTCAGGTCCCCTGAGGCTGGCAGCTGCTCCTGGCGCCCCCTGTTGCTCTCTGCCTTGGTAGCCTGTTAGTTCATTTCACACCGAGGATGCAATCTTTCTGTCATGGACTTGTCATGTCAAGTGTCATGAATGCACTTGCTTGCTCGTGGCTTCCCGGCCTCCCCCACTGGACTGTGAGCTCCAGGAGAGCCAGGAGCTGGGTGTCTGGCATCAGCACAGTTCCTGACACATGGGAGGTGCCCAGCAAACATTTGTGGAGAAATTCAATGATTGTCTAATGTTTGCTGCAGTATCTTCCTGGAAGTGTAATTGCTGGGCCAAAGGGCATGCATGCTTCTTGTTTGGATACATAATACCCCACATCCCTTCAGGAAAGTTAAGTACAAGGAAGGGAGGCACTGGCTCTGGTGCTGAGCTGCCCGGGGGGTGTGTTCTGACCCCAACTTATTAGCTGGGTGGATTGGGAAGCTACCTAACCTCTCAGTGACTCATTCTCTTCTTCTGTAAAATGGAGACAATATTACCCATTTCTTAGAGCTGCAGTGAGGACTACATGAGTCAATTTATGGAAAGCATTTAAAATCACGCCTGGCATACAGTTGGTGCTACACAAATGAATGCATTCTGAGTATATTTCCATCCACAGTGTATAAGAAGATCCTGGCTCCATAAACACTCATCAACACCGCATGCTGTCTCTATTTTAACACTTCAAAAGTGACAGTATTTTTACTTTTGCTTAGTGTGGGGCTCCTGGGTTCAGGAGAAGATCCTGGCTTGTGGGGCTGGTGGAGGTCCGCGCTGAACAGCAGGCCCCGAGGCTGGAAACGATTAGCGGCTTTCTCATGCTCCACATGTAGGTGGAATGGGGGCTGTCGGAGCAGCAGGGCCAGGAGGGATCCCTTTCTTGCTCATGTGGGCCAGTGGCGCAGACTGTCCATGCTCCCGACTGCAGTCAGGCCAGGGAAGAGCCTGTTTTGGGGTCCCGGGCTCCAAAGTGAACAGTCACCAAGGAGTCAGGGGACAGACTGGAGGGGGTGTTGCCGCAGGCTGCCCTGCAGGCCCTGCCCGCATCCCAGGGAATGTCTAGGACTGTGGGTCCTGCAGAAGCTGGTTCTCCAGCTGGTTTTTACTTTTTACTCCCTAGTGAGGGTTGGGTTTGGTGGGTGCTCTCTCTGTACCTATTATTAATCCTCTTTTTTGTTGTTTATTTCATTAATTTCTGCTCTTCCATTGATTTCCTTCCTTCTTTATTTAATTTACTCTGCTGCTCATTCCAAGTTTCTTGTTTCGTGTTGACTACAACTAATTTATGTCCACAAATTTCTCTCTATCTTTTAAAAATACTCTTTTAAACTATCCTTTACTTCTAAGTGAAGCATCAGCTTGGTCAAGCCCCACAGTTTTTGATGGGACATTTTCTTGTCATTTATTTCTAAAATTTTTGTCATTTTCTGTTTTTTATCCTAAATTACTTAGGAGTGCAGTGAATTTCCAATTAGGCAGATGGATGGATGGCCACACACATGGAGATATAGTATATAAAACTACCTTTCTGTGGCACTGTGGTCACAGAATATGTTCTACTGGATATTCTTTGAAATTTGTTTGCATTTCCTTTGTTACCAAATTGTGGTGATAATTTGTAAATACATCACATGATTGTCATAAGAATATATGCTCTCCATTTTTAGGTGCAAGATTTTATCTATTTTTACCCACCTGTCCATCTATCATACATCAACTCAAGCTTGTTCATTTTGTTTCCAGTGGAGCCCGGCCCCTGCCCCTCCTCATGGGCAGGAGCTGATGACTCACCCAGCACCCCACCACCCCAGCAACCCAGCCCTACCCATCCACACACCACCTACCCATCTGTTCACCACCCACCTGGCCACCCACCCACCTGCAGAGCCAGGAGCCATGGCCACGTGGCCACGGCAGGCACTGGCGGTGGGAGGGAGCAGGGGCTCTGGCTGAAGCCGGCTCACCTGTCTGCTGACACTGGGCAACAGCTGCTTGGGCAAAGTCCTTGATTTTCTTATACTTCTGCAAAAAACGCGCCAAAAACTGGGCAGCTTTCTCAACAGTAACTCCAAGGCAAGCAGCAAGCCGCTCCTTCCCTGTATGAGTCAGAAAGACACACGATCAGAGTTAAGTCCTAACTCACACCCAGCAGGTGCTGAGAGCACGTGCCTGCGGGGAGGGACCGTGTTCTCAGAAACAAGCCAGTCGCAGGCCTCATGGGGGACCTGGTGAGTCAAGGTTGTTGGCCCCATTGGCCTTTTCTGCACGGTCAGGATGGTGTTGGCATCTGGCCTTACACACTGGGTGCTGGGTCCTGGCCAGTCTGGACTGGGGCCTGTTAAACATTTCTTTATCCACCAGTCCTCACTGAGCACCTGCCAGCGCTGCAGGTGAAGCAGTGAATGAAGACGACATGGTCCCTGCTTGGCTTGGCTGGTGGGAGACCCAATTCCAGAACTGGGGGAGGCTGGACCAGGGGACAGAGGAAAAGAGGAAGGGAATATTCCATGGCCAAATTATGAAAAAATGGTACTCAGGAGTTCCTGTCTTAGAATTTTCATCTGGAGACAAATGCTTTTGGTCCAGATCAGCATTTTGTTCCTAGAAAATGCAGGTGTTGTTGTGAAGCTGCTGATAGAGATGTCTCTGGGTGGGGCGGCACCCTAAGTTCTGGAGTAGCACGTGACCGCCCTGCATGCCGGGTGCAGGTCCTGGGACCACACAAACCTGGGTCTGAGTCCAGTTCTGTCACCCATAGGAGGCTCTTTGTGGCCTTGGGGAAGTCATGTGACCCATAATAAACCTGTTTCTTCTCCTATGAATTAAGTACGATTGTCCTTACCCCCGAGGGTTGTTAAGCGAACCCCATGAGCTCAGGCACATAAAGCTCACAATGGTGCCTGACTCCTACTGGTATGCAGTCGGTAGACACTCCCTTCCACTCTCCCCCAGAAAAGACTAAAAATGTAGAGAAGGAGTCCATGAGGTCATGATCCCTTGCTCGACAATGGGATCACAGGGAAAGCCTTGGCTCTGAGGCCAGCATGCTTGGAGGGAACCCTAGAGGGCAAGCTGCCTGGAGACCTGCATTCCTGGGAGAGCATGGCCGGGGCCAGAAGTGGACTTGCTGCCCTCTGCACTGGGTTAAGTCTGGGGTCATTCTAGAGGGCTCAGGGGCCTTCAAACAGGACAGCCCAGAAATCCTGGCCCAGGATTGGAGATGTAAGATATCTGAAGACTGAGGGGCTGATTAGCCTCTCAGATCTGGTCCTCCCTTCAGCTAGGCCACTCCTTACCCCAACCAGCTGATGCCTCAAATGGTTCTGGACAGAAAGACTGTTCAAGTCTTGGGACAGTGAAGGGGCAGATGTTTGCTTTGCCAGGAAGAGCGGCAAAGTCTGGGGGTGCCTGTTCTCCCAAAGTTTCTCCCAGCAGGGAGAGATAAGCTCTGGTCCTTTCTCTAGGCCCAGGACTGCTTGATTACTTGTACCCATTTGGCTGGAAATGAAAAAACTCTAATATCTCTTTTAGGGCTTAATTAAGACCTATTATTCCGAAAGCTTCACAAATAATGAGCATATTATGTGTTTGTTACACTTTACTGTAATAATCCATCTAGAATTCTTTCTTTCTGTCAAATTCTAATCACCGTCCTCAGCTATGGCACTGCAGTGGAAAATTCCACTGGCTTTTAGAAATGAATCAGATATTACCTGGAAACCTTAGCCAGGTCAGCCAGATAGGACTTTGAGTATTCTTAGCCAAGTGTTTTATCATTTCCAATCTGCTATTAAGCCCATCTGGTGGATTTTCAATTTCAGATATGGCAGTTTTAAGTTTTAGAATTTCCATCTGGTTCTTTTCACTTGTTGAGGTTTTCTTATTTTTTTTTTCATTATTATAAACACATTTTCCTATACATCCTTGAGCTTAGGTATTAACAGCAACTTTAAAATCCTTGCCTGTTATTTCCAACATCTGGGTCATCTCAGAATCTGTTTCCATGATTGCTTTTTCTCCTGAATATGGTCAAGTTATCCTATATCTTCATTTGTATGTTTAGGAATTTTTGATTGTATCCTGGACATTGTGAATGATATGTCGTAGAGACTCTGGATTCTGTTATGTTCTTCTCAGGGGTACTTATTTTTTTGAGAGGGCAGTTAATTTGGCTAAAATCAAACTTGAAACTCTGTCTCCCTGCCATGGGCAGCAGCTGAAATCCCAGATCTAATCCTTTTTGGTTTAGCATGGCTGCTTGTAGTCTGCCCCACTCATGCAGGGTCAGCCAGAAACCTGGGCAGATTCGTACCCAGAATTTGGGCTTATCTTCTGGCTGTCTTTCAGCCATAAATATGTCTTTCTGGAATTTCTCCTGTCACTTTTCAGATTCTGTGGTTGTCCCAAACTCTGTCTTCTGACTCTTCCAGCTAGTAGGACTATGGATTTCTATCAGAGTTTCTGCCACCCACACAGCACTGACTAAGGCTTGCCTTCAGGTGCGGAGCTGCAGAATGGGAAACTCACCTGTACTACTACTTTCTTCCAAGTGCCAACCAATCTCCAGTTTCTGTTTGCTTTTGGTCCCTTTCCAGTGCCTTCAGGTAATTGGTTTTTCACACATTTTCTGTAGTTTATGGTTGATATCACACCTCTCTTTCTAAATACTTATGGCCAAAAAGAGCTTCTAGAGAAGCTCTCCCATCTTCTGTAGAGCTATGGGGACATCTGAAGGGAAGTGGGTGGCCAAGGTTCCTGTATGTGAAGAAAGGCTATTTACAAGAGAAGCAAATGATGTGCCAACTACAAAAGGAGCAGAGGCAGGAGACTGAGATGGAGACAGAGGCCCCAGATTCTTGCTCCCATTCCTCAGACACCCTTGACAGTATGACTATCACACTCAAAGGCCACTATCCCTCCCCCAGGCAGGATGACCTCTGGCTCTGCAGGGCTTCTCTCTCCTATGGTTCATGTGAACTGACTCCCTTTTTTCATAGAACTTCCCTCCACACTTTCATTCAGTTGATCAGTTTCCTGCTTTTTAAATTGTAATCACATGCAGGCCTGTCTCCCTGAGAGTACCCCAAGATCTGCCCAGTGGGTGCACCCAATGCTCCCTACCTCTAAATCCTACATGAACACAGCTTGACTTTTCCCACAGATGGCTAATCATATCCTGTGTTCATGTGTGTGTCACAAAGCTAACTTTAGAACCATAATCTTCACTCCCCTTCTCCAAGTACCCTTTGCCCCACACATATTGCTGACAATTTTCACTCCTGTTTGTCTCTATGGCTAAGCACACAGTGGGCCTTTGGAACTCTGGCTAGTCTGACTGGAACAGACCTAAGTAAATCCCATGCAGCTTTCAAAATTCAGCTCAAGTGTTGCTGCTCTGGGCTGTCTTCCTGGACCCACCCTCCTCTGTCTGGGCCAGGGGCCCTCCTCTGGACTCCCTTGGCACCAGGGACTTCCTATCAAGCACTGCTGTGTGTCTCTTCTGATAGGTGTGAACCCCCTGGGAGCCGGCCCTGGGCCAGATGGTAGCCCTCAGTGAGTGCCTGTCGATCAAGCAAAGACTGGATGTGAAGGCAAACTGCAGCTTCACTCAGTAATTTGAGAAGATTCAAATGTTAGACTCTAAGAGCAACAGGAGCTCAGAGCAAGACTGGAGGAATCAGACGCTACTTCCCACAGGAGGCAGATTTCTGCTGGGCTCAGGGGAGTGAGGGGGTTGTGAGCAGTGTGGTGGCTGGGGAGGGGCACCGTCAAGCTGGCGGACATCTGAATTCAGTGACTGAAGAAGGCACAGGCAGTCTGTGGGCCAGCTCCTGGGGTCAAGGCCCTAGGCAGCTGCTGCCCCATGGCTTCAGGTACCCCCCACCAGCTCTTGAAACACAGAATGGGTGAGTCTGAGGGTGGTGGGCTGAGCACACAGACCCAGCACCTCTGGAGCGTCTTCTCTGCCTAACTCTCTGTCTTCATCAGTCTTCACAACAGTCATGGAACTGGTTTTCTCAAGAAAAATAGGGTCTGCCACCCCCCACCCCCACCCCGGCATTCCTGGCAGCAGCTCCTGGACTGTTCCAAGTGTGTTTATGTGACAACATATCACTACAATTCATTGAAAGCTGGCTGGTCCAAATCTCTACTGAATTCCCAAAGGGGCCTGGCACCGAGGAGGCCAGGCGAGTTTACTTGGTGTAAGGGGAAATCCATTCGTATAAGCAATAGGTTTCTTAGGCCATACCACGATGACTGCCAGTGTGTTTTTTGGCAGCCTTCTGGTAAGGCATGAGTCAGCAAGCTTATGTACCTATTAAGTCACCTCTCATGTAAGACCCATGTGATCACCCCTTCACTTGGGCATGTTGCCATATTCTCGCTGCCGTGGCATCATCCTGACAATAAAGAGTATGTCTCATCTACCTGCTGCTGCTCATCTCTTCTTTCAATTCCTGGGACCCCCTCTGGTTCCCTCACTGGCCGTGGAACTCCCGCCCCTCATTTGGCATAGTTGGCAGGATTCAACTGGGGTAAGTGTCCCCTCCACCCCAGTAGGGAAGGATATGTGGCCTCCCACGGGCTTGTGGTACCCAATGGCAGCAGTCCTCATGTCGTGGGCCCCTGCCACGGAGTGGGAGCAGGTAGAGTGTACACCTGCCACCTTGGAAAAGGCCTTGTGGGCCTTGGAAGAGTTGTTGCAGCCTAAGGAGTGAGCGGTGGCTGGTTAGATGGGCTGGCTCTTCCTTACAGCCCTCTGTGAGCAACATGAAGATACCCTGTGGCGAGAAGCCCAGGTAAGAGAATTACATGTGACAGAAGAAAATTTGGAAGCCTGGGTATAGGCTTTGGAGAAGGAGCCAATGACTGCTTCGGCTGTGGACGCCGATGAAACTCCAAGTATGCACGAGACTGAGGGCGGGACCCCTCCCTTGCGGAGTGCCTGCCCAGTTATGAAACAGAGAGTGGAGCATGAACAACTTATGGGACCCCAGGGGATCACACAGGGCATGCCCATGGTAATGGAGCATACCTCATACTCCACTTACATGCCCGTGGAGCTGCGGGAACTAGGAAAGCAGTGCAGATGATG